CCCTTCCGCGGCGCCGGGGCGACGGCCGCCGCCGCCGCGGCGCCGGCGTCGCCGCCGCTGATGCCGGCGCCTTCGACCTTCCTTGCAGCCTGGGGTTTTCACGGGCTGCCGGCCGCAGCCGCGCCTTGCGCCCTCCAGGGCGCCGGCGGCGTAGGCTCCTGCTAGGCTGCCGCCGCCGGGGGCCCGCGCGCTGCTGGCGGGCGCGGCTGCCGGCAGGGCCGCACGCCCTGCTGATCGAAGGGCGTGTGCGCTTTCTTTGGGGCATTTGTCGTGTTGCTTGTCGGGGGGTGGTCGCAAGGCAGGGCACACGTGCGCTCCAGGAAGCGTTTGCGCAACCACTTGTCAATTTGTCAGGTAGGGCACGCCACAGGCGCGCCTTGGCGGAGCCGGTTTGGCTGGGACGTCGCGCTTGGCCGCCACAGGCAGAGGACGCCGCGGCACGAGCGCGCGCGGCGACGCCTCAGGGGGTGGCTTTCTAAGCTGCGTCAGCATGCGAGCACGATGCTGACGCAGCAAGCGTGCGCATTTGCCGGTGCGGGGTGGGTGGAGTTAGGCCCTTGGAAGGTTTCTAACGGGTTTGGGGCCGAGGGTTTACGAGGCCGGTGCGTCACGCAGGGCTCGTCCCCTGGTTAGTCAGAATGGAAAAAAGCGCTCGCGCGCGCGCCCCCGGCGGTGCGCCCGACCGCGCTCCCTTGCACTGCGCCGGCCCCGTTCGCAAACATTGCCCCCTGCCTCCAGGAATCTTCCCTGGCCAGCTAATCGTGCAGTCGCGCAAGCCGGGCCCTCAGCCGGCTGTGTCGTGCCGCCCATCCATGCCCCGCCGATTTCCAGCCTGCGGCGGGGCCCGACGCCTCGCTCCCTCTCCTGCCACTTTTGCCTTTAGCAAACACCAATTGCTGATAGTTCTTCATCCTTTGTTGGCCCTCGCTGCCCTTGAATCGACCCATCGCCTGAAGGGCGGCGCACCAAGGCGCTCCCTCTGGCTCCCTCACTGCAATCCGGCTCGCCGGCCGCCGAGGCGGCCGGCGCCACCAACCACCCCCCTATTGCCCGAAAATACACGCACCACATTGGTTGGCTGTTGGCGGCCGGCGCGCGGACTGCGCGGCCGGCGCCGAGGGTGCCGCCTCCCTGGCGAGTGGGCGGCGGTACCTTGCCACTGGTCGGAGCCGTGCCTGCGCACGCAATCAAGCTCATGCCCACACACACGCGCGCGCGCCCTCAACACAAGCACGCATCCAATCACTCACGCAAACACACGGCGACACCGCAAATCACACGGTCACGACAGCCTTGTGAGTCACGCCTCTTGTCTCATTTGGGCTCCATTCATTGCCCTGAACCCGGGTGCCCACGACCGACTGTTCGCGCAGCCTGAAGCCTCAAGCTCCTTGGAAGCTACGCTGCCAGGTTTGCATCACCGTGACCCCTGGCATGCACATACCCGCTGGGTGCCACTGTTACACCCCTCAGAGCTGCTGCGTTGTGTATAATCGGCCGTTCCTGTTCCTTATCACCATATGCCTACAGGACGTGCTGTCAGGACGCGCCTGAGTATGCGAATTTACGTGCTGGCTGCTGCAGCCCGCCTGCACATAGGCGCCCTTGCGCCCTCACACCCTTGCCGGGCACAGCAATCCAGTAATACAGCGAGACGGCCCGCGCCTGGCCCAATGGGTGGCGCGGCAACGTCAGCGGCAGCGCACGGGGCGGGGCGCCATGACAGGTTGCGGGGTGTCGCGCGCCCATCGGGCTGGTTGCGGGGCTGAGGCACTCGCAGTACTGGCACTAGTGACTCCTGGTCAAGTTAAGCCAAGACAAGCATGCAGGGCGCGTCCGTCTAAACAACGGGGGAGCACCAGTACCCCTTTGGCGGGAGCCTAGGCCGAGGCAACACCTGCACGCGCGAACCCCGTTCGGGCGGGGGAGGTGATGCGAGCTGCTGCGTGGTGCGCCATCCCAGCGGCAGCCCCACCGTCCGTAGACGCCCTGGCTATGCGCCTGGGCCGCCGCCGTCAGCCCCCGCTGCCCCCAACGGACCCTGCTGCACTGCCGCCGCCGCCGCCGCAGCTGCAGCCGCCTGCCGCTGCGAGCGCCGCCCGCTGCATGCGCGCCACCGCAGCCCACAGCAGCAGGTGCACGCCGATCAGGTACCCCGCGGCCGCCAGCCGCGCGGCTGGGTGCCGCCCTGCCACGCGCGCCGCCGCCGCCGCCGCGGCGTCGAGCGCGGCGGCGGCCGCGGTGGCGAGGCTGCTTAGGCGGCCGCGGCGCACGGGAGTCCGCTGATAAGGCTCTCCCAGCGCATCGGGAGGGGGCGAGGGGGCCCGCGCCGCGCCACGCGTGCGGTGGGAGGGCGGTGAGCCCTGGCGCTGCTGCCGCTGCTGCTGCCGCCGCCCCTGCTGCTGCTGCTCCGGTTGCGCCCGCGCGAGCTGCTGCTGCAGCGACGCGACCTGCGGGAGCGACAGGGTGCGCCGGGGTGCGGCGGGCGTGAGCGGGTTGGCTGGAGAGACGAGTGCTTGCGCCCGCAAATTTGGGTGGGTCGCGCTTCTGTCGTTTGGGGCGGTCACCCAAACGCCAAATGGGGGACGCTGCCTTTGGCAAACTTGGGGCGCCTGCAGCCGCCAGCGCCCAGCCACCACTACACTGGTGAATGAGTCGCCTTCCCCGACGCACCGCCCGCCCACCTGCCGCTCGAGCAGCAGCTGCCGCGCGCCCTTCTCCGCCGCCAGCCGCTCCAGCTGTGTCTGCCGCTCGCACAGCAGACCCCGAAGCTCGCACAGCTGCGCCTCTGCCGCGGGCGTGCCTGCCGCCCCGGCGACGGCCTCGGCCGCGGCGGCCTCGGCGGCGGCGGCGGCGGCCTCGGCCGCCTCGCAGCGCGCGGACAGGCTCGCGAGCTCGGCGCCGAGCCTGTCGCGC